ATAAAATTGTTTAGACCTCGAACTAAAGTGAAAACAAAAAGTAAAAAGTGAAAAAATACGTAAGCGAGCACGTTTTGACACCGCCATCTTTGGCGATTTGCAATTCTTATTTGGCTTAGCCAAATGACTTGAAAATTTACAGGCATGTACCTCACGTCATAGAGAACTCACAAAAAAAAATTCAGAAAAAAATAATTATTTTTAGGCCCCGAAATATTTTTTGGCGGGGGCCGAATGCCGTCGGGTTCGGACCCCGTACGGGACCCCGAACGCCCGTACGTACAGAGGTCTGCCCGGGGACCTTCGTACGTACGGGCTGGTGACCCTGTATATATATATATATATATATTTTGCGGGATGCCGACGACCCCCCGACCAGTACTGCCGACCGGCCGACCAGTCAAGGGTCGCCGACGGTCGAGGTGTGCAACACTGTCAACTAGTCAAAATAAAAATAAATCGATTGCACAGATACATGCAAAATGCAAATAACAGTAATAATAATCGAGCACCAATTGGAACCTTCTCTTCCCTGTATCCGACGTCCTGGCTGCATCAACAGAGCAGCGGTGACTATGGTGTGCACAACGGCCCAACTCTGTGCCCAGGTGATGATGAACAAGCCAGCCTCAGCATACTCTTTTTATCCTCGCGTACAGTGCGAATCGGTTTCCCCACTGGACTACCTTTAACGGCGGTTCGGTACTCGTCGATCCCCCATAAGGCTGACCTGCCCAGCACCCTTCTATGCGCAACAAGAGCTCGGAGGACAATGCAGCAAAGCATGCGTGCTGTACTACCTTGGGTTGGCATGGTGACCGTGACCCGTGCTTCGTCCAGGGCCCTTCAGAAGCACCGCCCTCTTCCACCAGATGCGCCACCAGGAAGAATGTCGACTCTCAAGATAGAGCACTCACGACTCCTGACCAGAAGAGGACTCTCAAGCCGAACTCTCTTCCTCGTGGTAAGAAGAGATTGAGATGGGAAGATAAGTTAAGGAACAACGTACCTGAAGGTAGCTGCCCCCAGCCACAGATTTCTCACCAATTGAACCAACGTGCATTTTGATGACCGGTGATAGCCTCGATACCACACACAATGCAATGCAGTGTCACCTCAGCACAAATGCCACGTCAGCATGCCCTCATCATTCCACGTACATCTCCTGTCACCACAGCCTTCCAGTCCGCTCTCCGCTACCCGGGCGGGACTCAAACAGCCGTCGTCAAAGTATCCTTACTGCGGAGAAGCTCTGTCAGCGCACCAAGTAACCAAGACACCAGCGCCAGTATGGTGATCTCAAAGCCAGCTCTGATACCAAATTGCAATGAAAATGAGCAAGACTGATAGACAGAAAACCAAATTGAAATATCACACTGAAGACCAGATAGTCGTGCACCAAGCAGAAAGCACAATGCACCGAGATACAAGCCAAATAAGAGCTATACAATGAACTCAAATGTCAATGTGGGCCCTCTCTCGCCACCATCAATCTACACCGACATAGTATCGAATGTCGCTCTTCTTGATTGGCGCTCAACGCCCAGCCTATCCTACTCAGCACCTACTCTAGCCTACGCTACAATATGGGTCAGGAGTCACATCAAGCTGAAGACCAATGCATGTGACGAAGTTGCCAATGCAGACTGCCGCATACATGAGGTACGTGCCTCCCTCACCCTCAACCTCACCCCCTTCTCTCCCACAGTGTGCGCCCTCACTTCCAAAGGCCACCATCACCATCACCAGCTACCGCTGAGCCATCCCGGCTATGGCTGCTCAGCGCCCGCAGCCTCTGCTGCGCCCTCTCACCTCCCAGCGCCCGCGTGCGCCCTGGCCAGCCAGCGCCCAGGCAGCCTGCCAGCGCTACAATGCGGCAGCGTGGCCGCCCAGACTTGCAAAGCCAGAATGTCCTCTGCTGGGCGAGGCGCTTTCCAATATGGGAAATGCTGCCTTGGCCTGTCGTGCGTGTGCCCAGTAGCTTCACGTTGGGCCAAAGTGTCTGCGCCCAGGCCCAATTCAGACAGTGGCCTGGCCCTGCAACAGTTAAGCAGCCCAACTGTGTGACGTGGCCAGCGTCGCACGCTGCTTCCTCGTTGGCCGAGAGGCCCTGGGCGACGTCGCAGCTGAGAAGATCCCAGAGGGTCAGGCTGTCGTGTTTACACTGGCGTGTGCTTTGTAACCAACTGGGGCCTGGCAACGGTCTGGCGCCCCCACATGCAGAAATTACAAAAATGTGGCCTCATGTCGAATTGCAGGCCCGCCTTCACTTAGGGCGATCACGAGGCTTGCTTGGGCCCCTCAGGGAGTCGGGTGCTGTGGCCTAAAAGGTCATGCGAGGGGATAATCCTCGCAGCTGTAATGACCATCTGTTGTATTCGGGTGAAGAAGGCAGCTCAGATGCCAGTGTAACAATCACAAGGGATTTGATCAATTGCATAGTCATACTTCCTCCTTGCTGAATTCATCCATACACTTGATTGAATCACATGTGCACTGCGCGGCTGTAAATAAACAATTACTTTAGTACTTGATTGAAGCCACCAATTCGGACTGCAGCAAGCCCAGCAAGCCATCGAAGAGGAGATGAGAACATGAACGCATGAAGCCTGGAAATCTTTTATCCGGGACTATCGGGAGGAAAAGGACCCCATCGTAAAGGAAGCCATCCGGGAATCCTACGGCCAATTTTGGCAAGAACCGCAGAAAATGTTTTCGGATCTTGATTCTGGCCACAACATACAATGGAAACCATGGCGGAGGAGAAGAGCCCTTGTGGCAAAGAAAACCCCGCACCTGTTTTGAGGTCCCCTACCTTCGCACTAACTTCGTGCTCATAAATGACCACCAGTCAGTTGCTCCCTTGCGCCCCCACAGACAGCCCCCTCCGACACCC